AGGCAGGCCTATCACCTGAGGTCAGGAGTTTGAGACCAGCCTGATCAACATGGAGAAACCCCGTTTCTATTAAAAATACGAAATTAGCCAGGCATGGTGACACATGCCTATAATCCCAGCCACTTGGGAGGCTGAGGCAGGAGAATTGCTTGAGTCTGGCCAACAAGAGAGAAACTCTGTCTCAAAAAAAGAAAAAAAAAAAAAAAAAAGGAAAGAAAAGAAAATACCAACAGCTTTTTTCACAGAATTAGTAAAACCAATCCTAAAATTCATATGGGGACCCTTTTCACAAGATGGCGCTGAAAGCGAAGAAGGAAGCTCCTGCCCTTCCTAAAGCCGAAGCCAAAGCAAAGGCACTTTGGGAGGCCGAGGCGGGTGGATCATGAAGTCAAGAGTTCAAGGCCAGCCTGGCCAAGATAGTGAAACCCCATCTCTACTAAAAATACAAAAATCAGCCAGGTGTTGTGGCAGGCACCTGTAATCCCAGCTACTCTGGAAGCTGAGGCAGAAGAATCACTTGAACCTGGGAGGCAGAGGTTGTGGTGAGCCAAGATCATGCCATTGCACTCCAGCCTGGGTGACAGAGCAAGACTCCATCTCAAAAAAAAACCAAAAAACAAACAAACAAAAAACAAGAACAAGAAGAAAGAAAACAAAACAATAACAACAAAAAGTAAATGCAATAAATAAACAAGTAAATGGGACCTAATTAAACGAAAAAGCTTCTGCACAGCAAAAGAAATAATCATCAGAGTAAACAGACAACCTACAGAATGGGATACAAATTTTTGCAAACTATGCATTCAACAAAGGACAAATATCCAGAATCTATAAGGAACTCAAACAAATCAGCAAGAAAACAACAAATGATTCCATCAAAAAGTCAGCAAAGGATATGAATAGACATTTCAAGAAGATATACAAATGGCCAAAAAAATATGAAAAAAATGTTCAACATCACTAAATATCAGGGAAATGCAAATAGAAACCACAATGGGTTGGGCACAGTGGCTCATGGCTGTAATCCCAGCATTTCGGAGGCCAAGGTGGGCAGATCACAAGGTCAGGAGTTTGAGATCAGCCTGGCCAATATGGTGAAACCCCATTACTGCCAAAAATACAGAAATTAGCCAGGTATGGTGGCACGCATCTGTAGCCCCAGCCAATCAGGAGGCTGAGGAAGAAGAATTGCTTGAAGCCGGAAGGCAGACGTTGCGGTGAGCCAAGATCGCACCACTGCACTCCAGCCTGGGCAACAGAGAGAGACTCCGTTTCAGGAAAACAACAACAACACAATGAAATCAGACCTTACTCCACACAGAATGGCCATTATTAGAAAGCGAAGAAACAATAGATATTCACGTGGATATGAAAAAGAAACGCTGATGGAAATGTAAATTAGTATAAACTTTATAGAAAACTGAATGGAGATTTCTCAAAGAACTGAAAGTGGATCTACCATTTGACCCAGCAAACCCACTACTGAGTATCTATCCAAATGAAAATAAGTCAGTATATCAAAAAGACACACGCATGTGTATGTTTACTGCAGTGCAATTCACAATTGCAAAGATATGGCATCAACCTAAGTGCCCATCAACTGATGAGTGGATAAAGAAAATGTGATATACATATATATATATATATATATATATATATACACGTACATATATACCATGGAATACACACACTATAGAATGCTACTGAAAGAACTAAATAATGTCTTTTGCAGCCACTTGGATGGGACTTGAGGCCATTATTCTAAGTAAAGTGACTCAGGAATCAAAAACGAAATACCACATGTTCTCATTCGTAAGTAGGAGCTAAGCTATAGGTAGGTAAAGGTGTACAGAGTGGTATAATGGACCCTGAAGAATCAGAACAGGGGAGAGTGAGGAGGAAATGAGGGATGAATATCTATTGGGTATAAGATACACTGCTTGGATAACTTCTTAGTGACTTCTTTTCCTGCAGTCTAGGAATTTGTCTATTTCCTCTAGGTTTTTGAATTTATTAGTGTGAACACATACAACCCACCAAAATTAAACCAAGACAATATAAAAAGCCTGAACAGACCAATAACAAATAATGAGATTGAATCAGTAATAAAAAGTCTTCCAACAAAGAAAAGTCCAGGACCAAATGGCTTCACCATTGAATTCTTCATCATTGAATTCAAACTTTTTTTTTTTCTTGAGATGGAGTTTCGCTCTTGTTGCCCAGGTTGGAGCGCAATGGTGAGATCTCAGCTCACCGCAGCCTCTGCCTCCCAGGTTCAAATGATTCTCCTGCCTCAGCCTCCCAAGTAGCTGCCACCACACCCAGCTAATTTTGTATTTTTAGTAAAGACAAGGTTTCTCCGTGTTGGTCAGGCTGGTCTCAAACTCCCAACCTCAGGTGATTGGCTTGCCTTAGCCTCCCAAAGTACTGGGATTACAGGCATGAGCCATCAAGCATGGCTCAATTCTAGCAAACTTTTAAATAATTAATATCAATTTTTTCTCAAACTATTCCAGAAAGTTGAAGCAGAGGGAATTCTTCCTAAATCATTCTACTCAGCCAGCACAACCCTGATACCAGACAAGGATACCACAAAGAAAGAACACGACAGGCCAATATCCCTGATGAACATAGATGCAAAAATCCTTTACAAAACACTAGCAAACCAAATCATACAATACATCAGAAAGATAATATACCATGAGCCAGTAGCATTTCTCCCTGGAATGTATGGATGGTTCAACATAATACAAATCAATAAATATCACGCATCACATCAGTAGAATAAAGGACAAAAACTATATGATCATCTCAATAGATGCAGGAAAAACTTATGATAGAATTCAACATTGCTTCATGATAAAAACTCATAATGATTTAGGTATAGAAGGAAAGTTCCTCAAAATAATAAAGACCACATAATGACAAACCTACAGCTATCTCACTGAATGTGGAAAAGCTGAAAGCTTTTCCTCTAAGAACTGGAACAAGACAAGTATGAGAATTACGCCCAGTCTCACCACTTTTATTCAACATAGTACTGTAATTCCTAGCCAGAGCAATTAGGCAAAATAAAGAAATAAGGGACATCCACATGGGAAATGAGGAAGACAAATTGTTCCTGTTTTCAGATAACATGATCTTACATACAGTAAAACCTAAAGACCTTACCAAAAAGAACTCTCAGACCTGATAAGCAAATTTAGTAAAGTTGCAGGATACAAAATTAATACAGTATGCCAATATCAGTATTTGCATACACAAACAATGAACTAGCTGAAAAAAAATCAAGAAGACAATCTCTTTTACAGTAGCTACACACATACACATACACACATACCCCTAGGAATAAATTTAACCAAAAAAGTGAAAGATCTTTACATGGAAAATTTACAAAACACTGGTAAAAGAAGGTGAAGAGGATACAAACAAATGGAAAGACATCCCATGATTTTGGATTAGAAGAATTAATCTTGTTAAAATGACAATGCTATTCAAAGCAATCTATAGATTCAACACAATCCTTATCAAGACATCAATAACATTTTTCACAAAAATGGGGGGAAAAAATCCTAAAATTGTATCAAACCAGGAAGAAAAAAAAAAAAAACAATTAGCTAAGCAATCCTGTGTAAAAAGAACAAAGCTGGAGGTATCACACTACCAGACTTCAAAATATACTGCAAAGCTGTAATAACCAAAACATTATATTAGCATAAAAACAGACACATAGACCAATGGAACAGAATAGAAAACCCAGAAATTAATTTACATATTTACAGCCAATTGATTTTGACAAAGGTGCCAAGAACACTCATTAGCGAAAGGACAGTCTTTTCAACAAATGGTGGTGGAAAAACTGCGTATCTACATGCAGAAGAATGAAACTAGACCTCCACACCTCTCACTCTATACAAAACTCAATTCAAAATGGATCAGGCGGGCCTGGCACGGTGGCTCAAGCCTGTAATCCCAGCACTTTGGGAGGCCGAGGTGGGTGGATCACGAGGTCAAGAGATCGAGACCATCCTGGTCAACACGGTGAAACCCCGTCTCTACTAAAAATACAAAAAATTAGCTGGGCATGGTGGCGCGTGCCTGTAATCCCAGCTACTCAGGACGCTGAGGCAGGAGAATTGCCTGAACCCAGGAGGCGGAGGTTGCGGTGAGCCGAGGTCGCGCCATTGCACTCCAGCCTGGGTAACAAGAGCGAAATTCTGTCCCAAAAAAAAAAAAAAATGGATCAGGCTGGGCGTGGTGGCTCACACCTGTAATCCTAGCACTTTGTGAGGCCAAAGCAGGCAGATCACCTGGGGTCAGGAGTTTGAGACCAGCCTGGCCAACATTGTGAAACCCTGTCTCTACTAAAAATATAAAAATTAGCTGGGTGCAGTGGCAGGGGCTTGTATAATTCCAGCTACTTGGGAGGCTGAGGCAGGAGAATCGCTTGAACTTGGTAGGCGGAGGTTGTAGTGAGCAGAGATCATGCCATTGCACTCCAGCCTGGGCAACAGAATGAGACTCTGTCTCAAAAAAAAAAAAAAAAAATCAAAGACCTAAATGTAAGACCCAAAATGATAAAACTACTAGAAGAAAACAGGGGAAATGATTCAGAAAATTGGTTTGAGAAAATATTTTATTAATAAGACCTCAAAAGCACAAGCAACAAAAGCAAAAACAAATGGAATTATACCTAACTAAAAGCTTTCTGCCAGCAAAGGAAACAATCAACAGAATGAAAAGAAAAACTACAGAATGGGAGAAAATATTTGCAGACTACTCCGACAGGAGATTAATATCCAGAATACACAAGCAACTCAAACATCTCATAGCAAAAAACAAACAATCCAATTTAAAAATTGGCAGATGATTTAAACAGGTATCTCTCAAAAGAAGACATACAAATGGCCAACGAATTATCTGGAAAAATACACAACAATATTAGAGAAATGTAAATCAAAACCACAATGAGGTATCATCTCACCCCTTTAGGGTGGCTATTATCAAAAAGACAAAAAATAACAAATGTTGGTGAGAATGCAGAGAAAAGGGAACTCTTATTCACTGTTGGTGGGAATGCAGACTGGTATAGCTACTATTTAAAACAGTATGAAGATCTCTCAAAAAACTACAAATAGAACTAACATATGATCCTACAATCCTACTACTGGGAATTTATCCAAAAAGAAGGAAATAATGATATCAGAGATACATCTACACCCCTATGTTTATTACAGCACTGTTCACAATACCCAAGATACGGAATCAACCTAGGCATCCAACAACATGTGAATGGAGAAAGAAAATTTGGTATATATAAATCGTGAAATACCATTCAATCATAAGTGAGGATGAAATTCTATCAGTCACAGCAACATGGATGTTACAGAAAGATATTATATTACATGAAGTAAGCCAGGATCCGAATGTTAAACATCACGTTATCACTCATACCTGGAAGCTTTAAAACAATGATCTCATAGAAGTAAAAAGTAGAACAGAGAATACTAGAGGCTGGGAAGAGGAGAGGGAAGAAAGGGATTGAAATAATTTTTTGTTAAAAGATACAAAATTATAGCTACATAAAAGGAATAAGTTTCAGTGTTCTATGCCACCATAGGATGACTATAGTTAACAATAATATATAGTTTCAACTAGGTAGGAGGATATTAAATGTTCCCAACACAAAGAAATGATAAATGTTTGAGATGATGGATATGCTAGTTACCTTGATTTTATCACTATACATTACATGTATCGAAACATCACTATGTACCCCATGAATATGTGCAATTATTATCTGCCAATTTAAAAATGAAATAAAAGACATGCCAAAAAATGTCATATGACTCTGCATGTCTGAAATGTAATTGAACACTAGCCCTTTTATTCTAGCATATTTCAGTATCTGTTATTATCTGATAAGCTCTTGTTTAGCAGGACATATTTTGTGAAACACTCCCTTAACTCAGAGGGAGGACTCTAATGAGGACATTTCAGGCATTATATAGGCCAGTAGAACAGATATTTTGGACTTCTGTAGCAGCTTTCATATCATATCACATTATGTAAGCATATCAATTAGTATACATGCCTATCTGCTGTTATAGAGGCCCAAAATTCCAGTGATTTCAATAAGATAGAGCTTTATTTATCTCAAGTAACTGTCCAAAGGCGAGTAGCCTAGATTGACAAGATACCTCTGCCCTATCAGGCCATCAAGGGTCCCAGGCAGGCATTTGGTCTCTATGACCCTCAACATTGATTTCCAATCTCTGTCATTTCTAGAGTAGAAATTATATCTTTATTTATTTATTTTTGAGATGGAGTCTCACTCTGTTGCCCAGGCTGGAGTGCAGGGGCATGTTCTCAGCTTTGCAGCCTCCACCTTCCAGGCTCAAGAGATTCTCCCATCTCAGCCTCCCAAGTAGCTGGGACTACAGGCAGGCGCCACCACACACACTAATATTTGTATTTTTTGTAGAGACAGAGTTTCATCACATTGCTTGGCTTGTCATGAACTCCTGAGCTTAGGCAGTCCACCCACTTTGGCCTCCCAAAGTGCTGTCATTGTGGGCATGAGCCAACCATGCCTAGCAGAAGAAGCTACCTCTTTAAGAAACAATGGGGATATTGCCTAAATCAATTCTTACATATCATTGGCTAGTCCCATGTCCGCACCTAGCTCTAAGGAAAGTGTAGTTTCTAGCCGAGTTGCCCTATGCCCTCTTAAAAGGTGGGGAAATTATATTCCAAAAAGGAAGAAGGGACCATAGACATTGGGTCAATGAGCAATCTCCCTGGGACCATAAACACTGGAGTCAGGGGTGATGATCAATGGGTAATCTGCCACTGTATTTGGCCTACTTCCTTAAAGCTTATGGAGCTCTCGCTTCTGGATAACAGAATGGAAGTAGTCATATAAATGAAGGAGAAAATGCCAATTTTTCATTAGAGAGCTTTATAGATCCTACTTCAAATCAGGATGATAAACATCATCTTTAAATTATCATCATCTTGTATCTCCTTGAAAAGTTTGAGGCAATGCACAATTCCTAGTTTAAAATGCAACTCAAAACTGTTTTTTTTTAAGAGATAGAACTCACTATACTGCCCAGACTGGAGTGCAGTGGTCATTCACAGGCCTGACCATAGCACACCACAGCCATGAACTCCTATGCTCAAGGGATGCCTCCTTAGCCTCCTGAGTAGCTGGCACTACAGGAGTGCATCATTGTGCCTGGCTTCAAAACTGCTCATTTAAAAAACAAACTTGGACTTATTAGTAGTCAGATAATTATAAGCTCCATAAGGATAGTGACTTACCATTGTTGTCAGAACAATGTCTCACACTATAGGTGCTTGGGAAATAAATATTCCATGAATGAATAAGAAGCAATATTTTAAAATTAGATACTATTATCTCCTATTAAATTAGTAAAGATTTGAAATAATGATGATGCTCAATGCTGATGAAGATGCAATAAGGCAGACAATTTCACATATTACAGATGGAAATATAAATTGGTACAACTTTTCTCAAAGGTGGTTTTTAAAATTACAACTACAAAGCAAACAAGTTTTTGCTGATCATATGAGCAAAGATATAAAAATTTGTTAGTATATTATCTTGATGAGGGTAACAGGAAGCATGCTCTTTCACACATTACTGATGGGAGTCTATTTGGAATTACCATTGTAGAGATACTTGAAATTGCCTATCAAAATAAAAATCCATATACTCTGACTTAGTCATTTCTCCCGTAGAGATTTGTTTTGAAGACATATTTTACACATTTGCAATAATCGTATATATTAAGGGTGCACACTGCAGGCTTCTTTGTAATGATAACAGCCTGGAAAAGGCCTAGATGTTCATCGTTGGAAGGCATAATTAAATGCCACACAGCAATTAAAAAGACACGTTATTAAAACTATAAAAATCAAAATACACAACAGTGTTCCTACAATACCATCATTTGGTGGGTTGCTTCAAAAGTTGCAGGGGAATACACACACACACATACATATAGTCTAGGGAGAAGAAATAAGACTGAAGGTCAGAGATGAAAAGACGACCTTCACTTTTATATACTTTTAAATTGTTAAATACTTTTTAAAATCATATATCACTTTTACAACAAAAGTATAAAACTTTCAAAGGCACTATTCATAATCTTTGACTCAATAATTTTCTTCCTAGCAACATATTCCCCTAGATAATTTGAGACAAAAATCTACTCCCAATATGGATCAAAAACTTGAAAATAACCTAATGTCCAATATTATGTAAACACTTGTAAAAATTATAATTTATTGTTTGAGGCGGAGTCTTGCTCTGTCACCCAAGCTGGGGTGCAGCGGCATGATCTCGGCTCACTGCAACCACACATGGCTAACTTTTGTATTTTTAGTAGAGAGGGGTTTCACCATGTTGGTCAGGCTGATCTAGAACTCCCGACCTCAGGTGATCCACCTGCCTCGGCCTCCCAAAATGCTAGGATTACAGGCGTGAGCCACTACGCCGGCCAAAAAAAAATTATAATTATTTGATAACATTTTCAGTGATACTAGAGAATGATACAACGTAACAAAAATAAAAGGACCCAAAAAGGGTATATATTATACCTTCAATTTGATGAGAAAAGAAATGGAAAAAAGAAAAAAGAAAAGAAAAGCTTAGTTAAAAGGCTACAAGTACATATACCAGAATGTTACTGTTGCTGATAGACGGACTTGACTGCAAGCTGTCCAGGTTCTTGGCGTTTTGAATAAAGAATTGGACAAAATGCGCAGCAAACCAAGGAAAGAGTGAAGCAACGAGAAAACGAAAGCAGAGATTTCTTGACAATGAAAAGTAGCCTCCACAGTGTGGGAGTGGCCAGAGCAGTGGCTCAAGGGCCCCAGATATATAATCTTCTCCGGTGGAAATACTCCCTAGGGGTTTCTCATTGGCCACTTGTTGTTCAACTCACGTAAATACAGTGCCTGCTAATTGGTTGTGGAAAGCAACCAATCAGAGGCTGAAGTGAAGTTACAAAGGTTAGACTCCTATGCAAATATCTGATTGATTGTGGAAAGCAACCAATTAGAGGCTAAAGTGATTTTACAAAGTTGCACTTCTGTGCAAATGAAGACTTGGCTCGCAATCAGTCTGATTGGTTGAGGACAGCAACTAATTAGAGGCTGCAGTGAAGTTACAAAGTTACACTCCTATGCAAATATCTGATTGGTTGCTTTTTGCAGAGGTAATTTCAATTTCCTATCTGCCATGCAGAAAAGGTGGGATTTACAAAGGGTGTAGCCTCTGGTCCTTTGGTAACTTAGGTGTGTAAAGTTAGGGGTTTCCTTTCAGTTTAGTTCTAGGAAATTAGCTTGAAATGGCCTTAGGTTCCCTGCCTTCAGACCCTATTCTCCTGCCTCATTACCAGCTGTTGCCACTAGAGAGTAGCACTATGGATGAGTATTTACTCGGTTTCTTTATACTTTTCTGTTTGATGATATCAGTTAGGGCTCTTCTGGTTGCAAACATCAGAAATCTAAATCAAACTAGCTTAGTAAAAAGGCTATTTATTGGTTCACTGAACCAGTCAGGGCACTGATACATGTTGGCTCATGAAACCATTTGCTAAAACTGACTGCAACCAGGAAATCTGTTTCCTTTCTGCTCCTCCCTGTACGTTGGGGTCAATGTCTCCTACGGTAGATCTGCCTTCTCCACAAGCCTTAGAACCCTGTTGCCAGTAGCTCCTGGATTCACATTTTCTAGTTCTGACAAGGAAAATCAAAGACTGTCCCCTCATTATCTGAGTGGGGTTGGAGAGGTGCATGTAAAACAATCCCAATGAAAAGTTCTCATTGGCCTATGTTAGATCACATGCCCAACCATTACCCAATCACAGTGGCTCAGGTGGCAGTAAAGCGTATCATGGGCCAACTTGGATCAGGTGTCTACTCTTAGAATAATTACTGTTGCTAGGAAGATAGATTTGTGAAAGGAAACAGCAGCATCCACTGACCAGATGGCTAGTGCAAGGAAATGAAGAGTACCATGGTGTCTAGAAAGGAAGAAAGCTATTAGGCTCTCAGAATAATAATGTATATTGCACTTTTCAATGAGCATGTTTTATGCAGATAATCATGAAAAAAAAATCATGAAAATCAAGAAAGAAAAATTTAAAGTAAAAAAAGAACACTACTTTCTTCTCTTTCCTTCTTGCCCTGGGGCTCAGTAGTGTCCCTGAAACACTTTCTTACAGACTTTCTAGCCACTTGTGAAAACAATGATACTCACTTTTTGATTAGAACTTGGAATCAAACTTGCTTACCCGTAAATGGCCTAGTAAAATAGTTTTCTGAAATCCAGAATCTGGTTAGTTGTGCGTGTGTGTGTGTGTGTTTTTTTTTTTCCTAAGTCACCTTCCAGTAAACAGTAACACTGCATCTGAGTTCTACCCTATGGTTTGAATTTTGGGTGAGGCTCAATTTCAAAGGCCCTGGTTTCTGCATTTTTCTGCCTCCCCTGAACTAGCCAAGTCTGTGTTTGTTGACCTTCACAGCACAATGCAAAATACCCTTGTTTGCTTTGGCCTGTCCTGATGGGCAAGGAGTCATGTCTGAGTTTGCCTTTCACTGTTTGATTTGCTAATTCTGTTGTGTATTTTAGTAACTTTCTATATACATCACTAGACACCTTTGTTAATGACTCATTATTTCAATGTTTTGTGGAAAAAAGATGATACAATGTGCTCTACTTTATTATGAATTTGTTACTTTCTGTAAAATTATGAGACTAAGCACCAACTCATAATGGAATATACTCATTACATATTTATTTCTAAGTATAATAGAAGTAACCACTATTATACTAGATATAGGATAAAATTACATAGAATTATAAAAAGCTGAATATGAGACTCATCCATTCTTTTTTATTTTTCAATTGCAGTAAAATACATATAAACATAAATTTACTATTGTAACCTATTTTTGTGTGTGTGACAGAGTCTCACTCTGTTGCCCAGCCTGGAGTGCAGTGGTGCCATCTTGGCTCTCTGCAACTTCGTCCTCCTGGGTTCAAGCTATTCTTCTGTCTTATCCTGTGGAGTAGCTGGGATTACAGGCATGTGCCACCAGGCCCAGCTAATTTTTTTTTTTTTTTTGAGATGGAGTTTCGCTCTTGTTGCCCAGGCTGGAGTGCAAAGGTGTGATCTCGGCTCACCACAATCTCCTCAACCTCCTCCTCACGGGTTCAAGCGATTCTTCTACCTCAGCCCATCAAGTAGCTGGCCGACTAATTTTTTGTATTTTTAGTAGAGATGGGGTTTCTCCATGTTGGTCAGGCTGGTCTTGAACTCCTGACCTCAGGTGATCTTCTCGCCTCAGCCTCCCAAAGTGCTAGGATTAAAAGCATGAACCACCATGCCCGGCCTGTAACCATTTTTAATTGTAGTTTAGCAGTATTACATACATTCACTTTGTTGTGCAACACATCTCCAGAATGCTTTTCATCCTACAAAAATGAAGCTCTATACACATTAAACAAATTCCCATTTTTCCCTCCCTCCAGCCTCTGACAGTCACCCTTTTACTTTCTGACTCTTTGTGTTTGACTACTCTAGATACCTCATATAAGTGGAATCATAAAATATTTGTCCCTTTGTGGTTGGCCTATTTCATTCAGCATAATGTCTTTAAGTTTCATCCATGTTGTAGCAAGTAATCAGAATTTCGTTCCTTCTTTTTTTTTTTTCAAATTAACATAATTAGCTTTTTTATTGTTGAACTCCATTCTTTTTTTTTTTTGTTTTTTTTTTTGAGAAGGAGTTTCGCTCTGTCAACCAGGCTGAAGTGCAGTGGTGTGATCTCAGCTCACTGCAACCTCTGCTTCCCAGGTTCAGGTGATTCTCCTGCCTTATCCTAAGTAGCTTGGGTTACAAGCATGCACTACCACACCCAGCTAATTTGGGGTGGGGTTTGTTTGTTTTTTGAGACAGAGTCTTGCTCTGTCATCCAGGCTGGAGTGCAGTGGCTCGATCTCGGCTCACTGCAACCTCTGCCTCCCAAGTTCAGCAATTCTCCTGCCTCAGCCTCCTGAGTTGCTGGGATTACAGATGCGCACCACCATGCCTGGCTAATTTTTGTATTTTTAGTAGAGACGGGGTTTCATCATGTTGGTCTTGAACTCCTGATCTCATGATCTTCCTGCCTGGGTCTTCCGAAGTGCTGGGATTACAGGTGTGAGCCACTATGCCCAGCCGCTAATTTCGTGTCTTTAGTGGAGATGGGGTTTCACCATGTTGGCCAAGCTGGTCCTTGAACTTTTGACCTCAAGTGATTTCCCTGCCTCGGCCTCCCAAATTGCTTGAATTATAGACTTCAGCCACTGTGCCTGGCCTTATTCGTTCTTATGGCTGAATATATTCTGTTGCATGTATCACATTTTGTTTATCCATTCATATGTTGATGGACACTTGTATTGCTCCCACATTTGGGCTATTGTGAATAATTGCTGAAGAATGAGGAACTGGGAGCCAGCCATTCAAAATAAACATAAGTGTACAAACATCTTTTTCAGACAAAGAGTCTCAAAAGGGTCCAAAAGAATTAAATAATTCTTTTGGTCATATACTCAGAAATACAATTGTGGAATCGTATGGTAATTCTAGTTTTAAGTGTGTGTGTGTGTGTGTGTGTGTGTGTGTGAGAAATGGGGTCTCATGCAGTGGCACCATCCTGGCTCACTGCATCCTCCACTTCCCGGGTTCAAGCAATCTTCCCGCCTCAGCTGCTGAGTAGCCAGGTCTACAGCCATGTGCCACCATGCCCAGCTAATTTTTACATATTTTTGTAGAGATAAGGTCTCACTATGTTGCCCAGGCTGATCTTGAACTTCTGGGCTCAAGTGATCCACCAGTCTCAGCCTCCCAAAGTACTGGAATTACAGACATAAACCACTGCACCTGGTCACGCCTGTAATTCCAGCACTTTGGGAGGCCAAGACAGGTGAATCATGAGGTCAGGAGTTCGAGACTAGCCTGGCCAACATGGTGATCCCCGTTTCTATTAAAATACAAAAAAATTAGCCAGATGTGGTGGCACCCACCTGTAGTCCCAGCTACTTGGGAGGCTGAGGCAGGAGAATTGTTTGAATCCAGGAGGCTGAAGTTGCAGTGAGCCAAGACCATTGCACTCCAGCCCAGGTGACAGAGTGAGACTCCATCTCAAAAATAAAAAAAAAAAAACTAAGATAAAAATTAAAAACTAAAAAAAATTTTAAAAAGATATTCCCAAATAAAGTATATTTACCAAAAGTGAAAATTTTATTCTAAATATATTGTCAGTGTAGTCAAAGATGGATATTTAAGTTGAATATAAGAACTGGGAAAGTTGAGGCCAGGAGCAGTGGCTCATGCCTGTAATCCTAGCACTTTGGGAGGCTGAGGTTAGTGGATCACTTGAGGTCAGGAGTTTGAGACCAGCCTGGCCAACATGGCAAAAACCCATCTCTAATAAAAGTACAAAAATTTTCTGGGTATGGTGGCCAGTGCCTGTAATCCCAGCTACTTGGAAGACTGAGGCAGGAGAATCACTTGAACTTGGGAGGTGAAGGTTGCAGGGAGCTGAGATTACACCATTGCACTACAGCCTGGGTGAAAGGGTTCTCAAAAAAAAAAAAGAACTGGGAAAGTTGGAGTGTGTGTTAAAATATTGTTGCTATTTACACTCCAATAGCTTGGGGTTCAAATAACTTGTGATGTTTTAAAATTGCTGAACCAAGAAAGGGTGGGCCCAGAACACTGCAGGCTTAGAGTACAAACTTTACCCTCACATGCTCAACCATTTGTGTCTAAAGCATGTCTACTATGCTAAGGCAACAATGTCAGAGGAGGGACATCTAGCCTCACCAACGTGCTATACCAAGACCACTCATACTCTGTGTGCTGTTGCTGAACCAGGCTACCATTTCAGACTTTCCTTGGCTTGGGGTAATTTCCATTTGAAGACTATTGGCATCTTTTCCTATCATTTATTTGGCCTTGGTCAAATTATCTCAGTCCTTCAGAGACAATATTGTGGTTCAGCTATAATATTGAACCACAGAGAAGAAAACTTTCTTCGCGCATTTCTGCAAATTTACTCAGTTTACTCCCCTCCCTTCCCAAGGTCCAGCCTTGCAAACCAAAGGCTATTGGTAAGAGCAGCCTTTGTCAAGCCACAAAAGAACCTGTTATACATTTTCCCCAGGGCCCAGGGGCCTACTTGACATAATTTGCATAACTAAGATCTGCTTCTCAAGTGGTTCTTCAGAACAAAAAAGAACAAGGATAATCTGCTCCAAGGAGTCTTGCTGTTTTTAAAACAGAGACAATGTTTAAAAGCAATTGATTTGGCAGAAGTTTAATATAATCAGGAAGCCTCTCCACTGACAGCCAGCCTGGCCTACCCTTATGTGTGTGCACACATGGACACACACACACACACACACACACACACACACACACACACCCCCGACCTAGGTTAGCTTTCTCTCAATTCAGATTCATGAATGTT